CCTCCCTACCAACCCGGCCCACCCTGGAAAACGGCAGACCGGAAGGTTGCATACAAGTGATCTCAGTGACATCACGTGCACAAAACAAGCGTCAGCTCCCCCGCTGTACATTTATCTCTGCTTGCCCAAAACAGGGCTATATGTAGAAAACAGCTACCCGCCTGGTGCCCAGAACTGCATGTCCCAGGCATCAGGAGATAGGAAATCCACACCCCTGCTGCCCCTCTACTCCCTGCTGCCCCTCTACTCCCTGCTGCCCGGAGGCCGGGCCTTGGTTGGCCTTGTGGGAGTGGGAAATCCAGCCCTGTGGACACCTCAGCATCATACCTATGTGGCTATCCCCTTCCCCACCCCAATACAAACTGCCACTAATATAACGTTGCCCTGCCAACTTCATGTCCATTAATATGGTGTTACCCCACCCCCCATTGCCTTTACTATGGAGCCCCCCTCAACCTTTATGGCTACTAGTATGAAGTTGCCTTGTATTGCCCATTAGTTGTCCCCTCGATAGCTATTTATATGGAGTTGGTTCACCTTTTATGACTATAGCAGCAGCTGCTCTTCTGGGAAGCCTTTCCACAAAAGTTTGGAGGGTGTCTGTGGGAAGTTGTACCAATTTGTGAGGTCAGGTACTGATGTTGGTTGAGAAGATCGGGCTTACCATTGGTTTTCCAACCTAACCCAAAGGAGTTCAGTAGGGTTGAGGTCAGGGCTCTGTACAGGACACTCGAGTTCCTCCACCAGACTGGTCACCCCATGTCTTTATGGACCTGGCTTTGTACACAGGGGATAGTCATGGGGGGGACAGAAAAGGGTCTTCAAACTGTGACCACAAGGCTGGAAGAGCTCCATTGTCTACAATGTCTTTGTATGATGGAGTGTTAACACTTATTATTATACAGGATTTATATAGCGCCAACAGATTGCACAGCGCTTTACATTATAAGTGGGGCTGGTAATTATTAAAATTTTCATGTTCGATTAATCAAATTTTTTTTAAATCGCTTAATAGATTAATTTTGATTAATTCTAATGCACATACAGATCCAACTTAATTGGCCTATACACATACAGCACAGCGATGAACTATACACATACAGCACAGCAATGAAGTAATAAAGTGAACTTGGATCACACTCATCCAGCACGTTATTCATCTCACGTGCCCCACTCAACATGGCCGCCGCTTGAGTGGGGCAACTTGGAATAATAACGTGCTGGATTAGTGTGATCCTAGTTCATTTTATCACTTCATTGCTGTGCTGTATGTGTATAGTTCATTGCTGTGCTGTATGTGTATAGGTCATTGCTGTGCTGTTTGTGTATAGGCCATTGCTGTGCTGTATGTGTATAGGCCAATGCCTTGGCTGGCGCTCGTGCAGAAAGTTTAAAAAAAAATTTAATCGATCAAAAAGATTAAAACGATCGAGAAATTAATCGTTAATTTGCACAGCCCTAATTATAATGAAGACATTACAATCGCAATACAATTCAAGACAAGATGGTAAGGAGGGGCCTGCCCCTGAGAGCTTACAATCTAAAAGGGGAGGAGCCAGTGATACATGAGGAGGGAGCTGTGTGGGGATGAATGGTTGAGCGGTTAGGTTGAGGTGGGATCGGCTTCCGGGAAGAGATGAGTCTTAAGGGATTGCCTAAAGGCAGTCAGAGTGGGAGATAGACGGACAGGTTGGGGTAGAGAGTTCCATAGGATGGGAGACGCTCTAGTGAAGTCCTGGAGGTGGGCATGGGAGGAGTTGATGAGGGAGCTGGAAAGCAGAAGCACTAAAACTGAGTAATTTGGAGGGGGCTCCTCATACTTTGGGGTATATATTGTATGTTCACGTTGCTTATATGGTTGCAGTGTAATAGACAGGATACGATATTCCATAACCAATCAGCAATCACACTTTGCTGTCCCCCCTCTTTTTTTGCCTTCCGCTGACCTGTTTTCAATGTATTTTCCTGCAGATGAAGGAATTGATGTCCGAATACGGGGGATAAAGATCAGGTCCTCCAAGGTGAGGGATTTGGGGCTCACGGCTGACATGTTCCTTCCCCCCAACCTGGTACGATACCCGCGACTGGAGGCCATCGACCCGGATGTCCTGTACAGGAGAGCCATAGTCCTCCAGAGGTCAGATGTTCCCCATTATCTCTTCTTGTATCCGATGGAAAATCCGAATCGCGTAGATTTTGGGCAATACATTTTTCTTTTTTTGTGGGGTGAGGAGCTCTGTTGGGTTTTTCTGCTATGGTGGTCCCCCTGGGGAGATTTACTCTTACTTGCTGTCATAATGAGAACAGTACCAGACAGAATGGAGGGAAAGTCTGCAACAGGGCCGCAGAGAGAGAGAGATCAAAGTCCGAATTCTTCTTCAGGTGGAGAGGAGCGCGGGATTCTTCATTGTGTATAATCCAGTCAACTGGCTTCTCTCATTGTCCTAAGACGTCTGTAGGTGGCCCTTAGCAAAGATAATTACAGGATGGGGAACAGAAGGGCCACTTGATGTATAAAAGTCCAGAATGGTATTTTATTTAATATTGCCAAGGAAAAGCCAACGCGTTTCAGGGACTGTGAGAGTCCTCCTCATCTAGCCCTGAAGAAGGGGGAGCCAAACAACTCCTGAAATGCGTTGGATTTTTATTCCTGTCTGTTACTTTTGTACATCATCCCTCACTTCCTTTCTGGTAAAACTGTTGTCACCAGGACAGGAAGTGAGGGGGGTCTCTCTAACAGATCCCCGAGAAGTGTTATAACTCTTCTCTACTCCACCCAGAACTAGAGGAAACAAAATATTTGGCTGACACTTTGTAAAGCACATTTCTTACATACCTTGGGGAGGTATATCTTGTGGCTGCATTGCATTGTTATTGTTCTCTGAAGGAATAGAGAGAAATTCAGGAGAACTCCATCCGTGACTATGCCTAGGCTGAGATGATGTGATCAGTCTGCTGCAGGCAGGAGGAAGCGTCTCCTCAGTCTCCCCTCCCTCCAGTGATCAGTCTGCTGCAGGCAGGAGGAAGCATCTCCTCAGTCTCCCCTCCCCCAGTGATCAGACTTCAGCATTGTAACAAGTCACAAGGCGAGGAGGCTACAGCAGGGGGCTGATCTATGTCAGACATCTGTGAACACAGCCAAGAACTTCATAGGCACCGGCATTTACATGATTGTGTCATCTCTGAGCCGACATCTCAGTCCAGGAAGTAGATGGAGACCCTGGGTGATGCCTGAACAAAGATGGCGCCGTCCTCCCGGAGAGAAAAGCAGATGAAGACATTGTCAGGGGGAGTTCTGTGATCTCTGTGAGAGGTAATCAATACCTGGATGTGTTACACTCGCATATTACTGAGCATGCTGTACTTCACATGGACGCACATATCTGATCTATAGGTCCACCTCTAACACGTTGGACCAGTTTGGTGCAGATATTAGGACGCTTTTATGCTCTAAATGGTCCCATTGGACATCTGAGATGAGAGCGCCGGCCCACCCCTCTATGACCATATATGGTAATGTAGTGTAGGTTGTGCCGGTCTGAGCACCGTGATTGGCCAGTCACCTCCTGTCCTCCTTCTCCAGGTTTGTCAAGCTTCTGGACAACGCCCTCCATCACCTGGTGCCCACCTGGGACCACAGCATCGGCACTTTCAGCCAGCTTAAGGTGAGTGTTTTTCGTGCCGTCTGCCTCCCAGCCCCCACACGTCCCACGTATGTGCGTCACGCTGAGCGCCCGTCTTATGTCTGTTCCTGAACGCAGCACATTAAGCAGTTCCTGTTGATGTCGAAGCGCCGCTCTTCGCTCATCACTCAGTGCTTGAAGGACTCCGAGACCAGCAAGCCCAACTTCATGCCGCGACTGTACATCAACCGCAGACTGGCAGTGGAGCACCGCGATAGCCCGGCATTAGACCCCACCTACAAGAAGACCGTGTTCAGCCAGGTGTGTGTGAGGAGGGGGGGGACCAAAGGGGAGATCTGCGGACAGCCAAGGCAGAACACAATAGGCTGGTCATCCACATAAAAAAACCCGCCCGATC